ATAATCAAAAGTAGAAGCAACTAACGGGTTCCACATGTAGCACCAGTATATTGCGATGGACATGTACACGTATTTGGAGCAGTACAAGTGCCACTATGTTGGCACGGACTTGAGCATACGGCTAGAAAAGAAAACAATATATGTGATAAAAATAATCGAAGCAACTAACGGGTTCCACATGTAGCACCAGTATATTGCGATGCGCATGTACATGTATTGGGAGCAGTACAAGTGCCACCGTTTTGGCATGCAGTTGAGCACACAGCTATAAAAAACAGAATATATATGACAAAAATAAACAAAAGTGGAAGCAACTAACGGGTTCCACATGTAGCACCAGTGTATTGTGATGAACATGTACATGTATTTGGAGCAGTACAAGTGCCACCGTTTTGGCACGGACTTGCGCAGACAGCTAGGAAAGAAAACAATATATACATGAAAAAAATAATTAGAACAACTAACGGGTTCCACATGTAGCACCAGTGTATTGCGATGAACATGTACATGTATTCGGAGCAGAGCAAGTGCCACCGTTTTGGCATGCAGTTGAGCATACCGCTAGAAAACAAAACAATATATATGAAAAAAATAATTGACGTAACTAACGCGTTCCACATGTAGCACCAGTGTATTGTGATGAACATGTACATGTATTTGGAGCAGTGCAAGTGCCACCGTTTTGGCATGCAGTTGAGCATACCGCTAGAAAAAACAGAATATATATGACAAAGATGATCAAAAGTGAAAGCAACTCACGGTTTCCACATGTTGCACCAGTGTATTGTGATGGACATGTACACTTATTTGGAGCAGTACAAGTGCCACCGTTTTGACATGGACTTGAGCATACAGCTGAAAAAAAAGACAGTACAGTAATAAATCTTCCTCCTGATAACAAGTTGCTATAAGTCCTAAATGGTGTTTGTTTTTATATTATAAGCTATTTTAGTATATATGAACTCAAGAGCATCTCAATATTAAAGGAGGGTGTGGGTTGTTGGATTGGTTTGGGTATAAGAACAGTATAACATGTACACCCATATCCTGAAATTGTCAGACTTATATCATTTACTAGAAAGAAATGGTACTATGCTCAAACTATATTTGTTGTCATAGATATAACTCCTCGAATACTCCAGCAATTTGCTTCATCTGTTTGGTACATAACTAATATGTAAATGTGCACAGTTCTACCAAAATAAGTTACAAAAAAACACTAGAAACCTTGAACAGTACGACAAAAACTTCTGTATTCAAATTCTTTCCTTACCCTCAAGATGACACTGTCAAAGAAAACTTCAGAGGATAATGTCTTCGTTATACAGAAGAATTGAAAAGGTATTTACGTTACTTTTTATTCACCTTTCTATGGTAAAGTATCTATGATAGTTACGTACTTACTAGTAAACAGTAACTACAGGGATTACTTATTACTAGTAAAGTAAAGGTAGTGTACCACCCCTAAGCGCGTATGTAGAGCTTATAATCTGCGTCAATACCTGAAATTTTTGGATGATTCAACTGAACAACTCCAATGACTTCAACCTTATCATGATGAACTTTAACCCAGTCGCTCTTCAAGTCACGACGTGTCCAGAGCTTGTGATTCATATCAATACCAAGAATCGTTCCATCATGCAACTGTGTGATTCCAATGACTTCAATACTATCATGATGAACTTTCACCCAGTCACTCTTCAAGTCACGACGTGTCCAGAGCTTGTGGTGCATGCTAATACCAAGAATCGTTCCATCATGCAACTGCGTAATTCCAATGACTTTGCCACTATCATGATGAACTTTAACCCAGTCGCTCTTCAAGTCAGGACGTTTCCAGAGCTTGTGGCTCCTGTCAATACCAAGAATCGTTCCATCATGCAACTGTGTAATTCCAATGACT